CACACACACACACACACACGCGCACGCGCACACGCACGCATGCACACACACACACACACACACACACACACGTAATGGCGAAAGCAATAAACAGACACACCCTCTGTATCAGCAGCAGCCATGGCCTACGTGAAACAGTGAGCAATGCAATGTTTAATGAGCACTACCTTGTCCCACTTTATAGATATGATCGAATAAATGTGACTCAGGCGTTGTTCCGTCAGTGAACCCTGCAGGTGTGGTGAGCTCAGGGTGAGGGTGGCCATTACTGCGAATGTAAATTTCCCACCAGATTTTCATTAAAATGGGAGGATCTGCGGCCTATTTTTGGCAAGGATGAGGTTAGTGATCCTGGATAAGCTGCTGCAGGTTTACAGAGCCTGTATTTGTTTGTGCTAGAAATAAATACAAAAGGTCAGGAAATAAACAATTCTTTCCCCTTTTCTTTTTTAAATGTTCAAAGCTTTGGTGTCGCTCTGTTCTGGGAACCTCTCATGTACATTCATGGAAAGCCAAAAATCAGGGAGATCAGCACCAGGATACCCTCAGAGGGAAAAAGAAAAAGAAATTACAATGGCCAAGTCACAAAAAGCATGAAATTGAGGAACTGGGGTTGATGTGGGTTGCAAAGCGGCTTGCAGAAGGACTCAGTACAGAGAACAGGTGATCAGAGTCACGCCCAGTGTGCAGGAACTAACAATGTGTTAGATTTTTGACTCAACTGGGCTTTTACAGATGATTTTAGACAGCAAGTCTGATGTGAAAAAAGAAACCAAAAACTAAACAAAAACTGTGCTTGAAAAACATAAATGACACCCAGCTCCCCAAAACGTAAGAAAATACTACCTGCATTTTCGTGAAAGTAGCTTAAAAATCCCCCCAAAAAGCAGGCAGATACTCATTCATCTGGTTACTAAGCAAAGCCTCACTAAATATGCATCAATATTTACCAACTTTTTAAATAAATATAATATTACCTGTTCAAGTCTCGGTCAGCAGGTAATGCAAACACACACCTCACGTTCATGCCTTGACAAATACATTCAAACCTTCACATACCGCTTTAAAGTAAATTGTTTTTAGTAAAGACAGTACACAAACCCTACATGTGAACCCTCTATTACATAACCCCCTAACAATAAATCATACCCACTGTGGAACTCAGCACCACACACCACAAACATAAGTACACAGGAACAATGCTCGCATTAGAGCAGCAGAGGATCTTTTAGTTTCAATCCTCCAGTTGAGATTCAAGTCATCATTTTTGTAAGATCAGTAAACCCAAGTCAACTTTATACTGAAAAAGAGAAATTCTGTATAAATATACATATGTATATTAGGGGTGCAACGATACACAAAATTCACGGTTTGGATCGGTTCGATACTTTGGTGTCACGGTTCGATATTTTAACGAGTTACCGCGGTCGCCCCGTGCGTGGGGCTGGACGGCGTCAATACGTTAAGAAGCTAACTGCACTAACGCACTAGTTCCCACCAATTGAGCATTGCGTGGTACATCCGAGATACTGTTTTACTTTTGTCCATGTCTGTGAAGGATCCCGGCCCACGTAGACCGCGAAGGCCGGGTCCTCCAAAGGATGCAGCTGACGTTTTGGGACACAGCTTCAGTTTCAGGTAGCGTTGAGGCAGTAGCCATGTTGCAACGAGCTTAGCTTCTGTCTTGCTAGCTCAGTGGATCTGCGCTGGACAGTGCAGCCTAGGCGGAGTAGTCGAACGAAGATCCACTGAGCGCTCAACAGAAAATTTTGTATTGTTCAATACATATGCGTACCGAACCGAAAGCACTGTATCGAACGGTTCAATATCGATACGAGTATTGTTGCACCCCTAATTAATAAATTACACGTGTTTGTTGTGAGCAGTTTTGATTGTACAGTCTGACAGCTGTGTGCTGTGTGTGTTGTGTGTGTGTGTGTGTGGTTATTTTTCGGCTCAGGATAACAACCACCATGCGAGACTTTGACACACACACACACACACACACCACACACACACACACACACACACACACACACACACACACACACACACACACACACACATATATATAACAGTAATCTTTACTCTTACAAAAGTGTAATTTAAGCTGTTTACAAAACATCTGATCAATCGATATGAGAAGTTATGGAATAAAATAACAGCATTTCATGTTTGTTTAATAGCTCAAAACCAGCTGCTAAACAAGAGATAACATCAAACTTCCTGCTGCCAGCTTAAAGTACATGCTAATCTCAAACTTGCAAACAAAGTGAGTGGATGACAGACTTGCTATTAACGTCATCAACAAACAACATTACATACATGTTGTGTCTGTTTGCTTCTTCTTCTTGGCAATAAAATGGAACAGCATCAACAGGCTAGATGAACAGGACAAGCGTGATACAAAACAGTCAAACTAAAGCAATCAAATTTGTGCAATGGGCATGTACCAAACCAAATTTAAGAATAATGTGGAAAGTCTCAAGTTATTTTGTCCTGTTTGACACTAAATTACTTAGGATGTGAAAGAAAGGTGTAGTACTCAGCAGTTCTGACAGTTACATACTCGGAACACTTGGGTTTTTTTTCCCCCCCTCTTTTGTAAGGTGAAACACACAACCCTATACTAGTAAATAACTGCTATTTAGTTCAGTTATACTTATCATTGCTACTATTAAATAAGAATTCAATTTAGATCAGAACAACAGTGTTCAGTCTTAAGACGCAAATTAAGTCAAGACATGAAATTTGTCTTGTTTAACCATGAAACATCAAATCAATAACAT